CCACCAACCAACTGTCATGACCCCCTGTGCCCTGCTGTCTTTGGAGAGAGTGGTAAGAGACACAGGCATGACATCTATCTGTCCTTGCATTTATTTTCTCTCTCTCTCTCTCTTTGTGTCATTGGATTTTAATTTTTTTTTTTTGTCATCGCTTAGGTTTTCATAATATATCAACATTCTCACTTGTATGATTATTTTCACAAAACTTATTCCCAAATTTTATCTTTTATGAACTTTGTTAAACAAGAATGCTCTTATGAATGTGAATTGTTTTTCCATTTGCATAGTTATTCAGCAGTTTCGTATGTATAGCTGTCATTTTTCTTTAAATTCTTATTAGCAAATTTCTGTTTGTTTAAAGGCTTCACCTTGTGCAATCCACTCATATATGCACACAACCATTTTGTGCATAATGTTAAAATCTTTAGTCCAATTTCCTTTAAATTAGTCATTTTGAAGTTTTGAAATGAAGTTTGTATATAGATTTCTACATTTTCCTTCAATTAAAAGGAATGGTTATAAGTTTTTTTTTCTTTTAGGGATGTCAAAAAAGGATACATTTTAAAATTAAGACAAAATATAAACTTATTAAGTCACCACTTACATATACACTGGTGATTTACTACAGGTTTGACAGAATCTCAACATTTCTTTATGCATTTTCACATTTTTATTTTGATTGTTTTGCTAAGATTGATTTTATTTTAAAATTATGCAAACCATTTTCTTTGCTCATTTTATATCTTTTTGACTCTAAGCTTTGCTAATGCTTTAAAATGCTTTTTCATTTAAGCTCTTTAAATAAAGCATCTTTATTAGTTATTCATTACAGTATACAAAAAGCATCTATTTACTGCCTGCTTTGGGATGTGTGTGATAATTGAGTGTATAACTATAGCTTGCTATTTTCTTGCTTGGTTTAAATTTTTCAGTTGAGCCATATTTAATAAGCTTTATTTACTAATTAAATTATCTTAATAACTATCACAGTTGAAGGAAAAGAAAACATTTAACAGTTTTTTTTTTGTTGTTTTTTAAAAAAAAGTCTTCATATGATTAATGAGGAGTTCAAAAGTAATATGGCAGTCTAAGAATGATGCTGACTGAGATCCTTTTGGGAATTAGCATTCATTGCTACTTTGTTCTCTGTTTGCTTCATCTTGAAAGGTATCCTAGTTTCTGTCATTCTGTTCTATTGTATAATGTAAAATATATAACCTTTTCCAGTAACCTGATTGAATGAAGTCTTTAAGCTGCTATTTGTCAAGTGAAGTTAAAAGAAAAGAAAAAGCTGTAAGGAGTTTAGCTGTAGGGTTTTAAACAACATTCATGCCATCTAGAATGGGGTTATTAACTACTTGTTTTGTTGCAATGTCTGCAAATTTAGTCGACAATAATGATAGTGTCCAGTTAACAGCAGGTGTAGCAGCTTGTCACTCCTTGATTAGTCTTCTGTGCTTAAAAAGTTGAAAGATCCATTGTATGACCATGTTAGACGTTAGTAATAATGTATTTTTTTAATGCTAAAATGATTTAAAAGAGGTTTATTTTTTGTTGCTGAAGATTTTTCTTTTTTACTTAGTTTCCACCGACTTTTTTGTTTTTGACATGCATTCCTAATGTGCGTACCCAAATGATGAATGTCTCAAATTGAATTCTATAAATAGCTTCTTGTGTCTAAGTTTATTGCTGGTTTACTTGCATAGATGCCTAGAATTATTTTCAAATGCTGATTTAATTCAGCAGGTGATTAGCATCTTTAGTCATTGAAATTCTTTAAGCATAGAAAGACTATAGAACAAATATTAAGCCCTTTATTCACATTTGATGTTTTTGCTTCCTTCATGTTTTTAATTTTTTTTTTTTTAATTTTTTTTTAACAATAGCTCTACATATAATACCTTTACATGCCTTATTCTTGCTTTTCATTTTGCTCACTTTGTATTATTTCTATGTATTTCATTTTAATATTTTAGTTGATAGGTTTGTGTGTCTTGTTTCTGTTTGCCTTGAAAAATGTTACTTTTCTTTAATATGTCTTGTCTATCGTGTTTTGTCTCATCAGTAAATGTTCTGAGTTTAATGAAACTATTTGTCTACATCTGCAAATTCTTGGGTGTGTGTTTCCTGTTTCAGAATAAATAGGTTCTAGTCATTGTTCTTAGATAATTAAAAATAGTCAAGAGTAGGTATCTTAATAAGAACTGATCTGGGGAGGCCCAAGTTCTAAAAATAAAAATTATTTCTAATTGGTCTATAGATACAATAGATTGAACAGTTTTTTAAACTAATTTTTCTTTCATTTTTATAAAATTTTTTGTTTTGTAGTGAAAATAGTAAATAGTAATTTTATATTGCTTCTCTTTAACCTCTAAATATCCATTTTGTAAAAATATTGTGAAGATCTATAGTATATTTACTTTCATATTTTAAGCAACAATGTCTTTTTCTAGAGAAATTCAAATTTTGATAGCCACTTAACCTAAATCTTACATAAGACATACCAATGTGTTGACAACCAGTCTGCCTTTATAAATGGGAATCAGAAACTTTAATTAATGTAGCCGCTTTCTTCCATGTCAGCTGTTCTAAAACGTTTCATTTCAAAAAAGTGTTTTTAAAATTGTACATACTTGTGTATTTTTATTATTTCAAACATTTTTAGTGGATGCCTATGTTTGAAATAGATGCCCAGTTTTATTTAAATAGTGTGTATTACATCAATCGGTCTGTGCTCTCTGGCAGGATTTGAACCTGTATCCCCCTTTTACTTTCAGCCACAAAGAGTATCACAGCCCACCAAGGTTCTATTTATCCCGTTTTTTTGTTTAAAGGAATGTGCACTGTCTCATTCAGATTTTTCTCAAAAACCCATATCTGCTGTTTCATATCCAAAACATTATCAAAGCAGTTTTTAAAGAATTAATGGGTTTATTTTTATTATTGCAAATGTTATTTTTAGTAGATACCCATGTTTGAAGTAGCCTCCCAACTTTTTATTCTAAATCTTAATAAAAATGTACTCTCCAATGGCTTGCTTGATATTTTTCCTAAGGCAGTAGTGAATTATACAAATTGTCCCAATATAAAAAAAAAAATTTTTAATTGTCAATTGATCAATGCCTCATTGCCATTTATGCTCAGAGGAAACAAATATTGACGATTCATTTTAATTGTTTACAGCAATGCAATGTGTATACAAAAACAAATAGCTTGTAATGTTTCAGTATATTCTTTGCAAATTTGGTGCACTGAACGAATTTACTGTCATGATGGTCCATCCCTGAAAAGAATTATACAGCCTAACATGTAAGCAATTTCAAGGTTGTTCATATGAGCAACTTTGTACTAGCTATTTGCTGCTTTTCACTGATTGTTTTTTCTGTTCAGCAGGTATTTCTGAAATAGTCAAATTTACCCAAAATTTCCAGGAATGGTGTATTGACAAGTGGTTACATGTCATTTCAATAGATTCATATAGCTTTTTATTATGAATAAAATATGCACTGTAAAAGTGTTATTTTTATTTTTTCAAAATAAAATAAAAAATAGTAAAATGAAATTATTTTACTTCAAATTTTTTTAGTATCAATAGATGATCTGTAAATACAATAGCCAAGAGTAAAATAGTAACTGTTTCAACAACATTGTTAGTTTTCTTTACCATAAGGCACATTAGTTCTACATTCAAACCCATTATTTTATTATTCAGTTTTTTTTTTTTTACTATTTCAGCCAAATGAAATGGAATATTTTCTTATCTGCAGAAAAGCTGTTTGTGTGTATTAAAAAAATTGTTGTATTGTCTTGCAAAATTTCTTGGGTTTAAGTGTATTAGGTTAGATTAATGTCTATTCATCTTTTAAAACAAATTTTACATGTTTAAAATAATTTGGATAATCACTTCTGATTTCACTGTAATATTATCTTCTAGTTAAGCATGCTCCTTCGTATGACTTGACTCTTGTAGAATTCAACAAATACTTTAAAATTTAATTCTATGAGAAGATTTAGTATATATTTTTTTCCTTAGTTAAAAATAAACATTTTAAAATATTTCCAATACTAGTTATCATGCTACTGTATTTTTCCAACAAAAAATGCTAAATATAACTATGATTAATTAATCAGTTTCTATTTATTGTGTTGTGGGTAAAATACACACTTTGTTTTTGCTTTTTTTCTAATGTTTTTTTTTTTTTTTTTTTTTTCATCAGTTTATCATATTTCTTGTTCAAGACATTAAAATATTAAAAAAAAAGAAGAAAAATGCATTTACAATTATGTGTTGCTATTTGAACCTGTATACTCATCTTCGTTGCTATATTAGTATTTCAGTTGTTGCAACCTTTGGCTTTCTTCAGATATAATAGTTTGTATTTGAAATTCAAAGGTTACAGAGTATAAAAGTCACACTTGAAGAAGGCCACAGATTACAACAACTGAAATGTGAGTAAAACAACCAAGACTAGTATGCTAGTTTGAAGAACAAAGCATATAATAATTTCTCCTCTCAAAAATTCTAACAAATTACAATTTATTCTTAAAAAGATTACCTTCTTTTCATTCTGTTATTCCTGGTTTCTTCCCTTTTTATTTCTTATTGTTGATAGTCTTTTCCATGTATTACTATTGTTGCTACTATTTCATTATCATCATGTCCTCCTATTTGTATTCAACTCCTTCAGGTTTCTTAGGGATAACATCTGTTATCTTTTTATTACCTTTTGATTATTACTTAAACAGTCTCTATCCATTATAAAATGTTGGCAAGAAAATGAAAAATATTTTTAAAAAATACAAAAATGTATAAATTAAAAATAAAGTTCATATATTAAAAAATGATGCAAAGCAAAATCTGCTAAAATGCAAAATTTGCTGGCCACGTGTGTGTTGTGTTGGGTGTATGTACTATATTGCATCACCCTTCTCCCTTGTTCCTTGCTCCCTGTGCACCAATTCTATTATCAATGTGCTTTACTGCCTCCTTTCCAATGAAGCTTCACCAACATACAGAAGAGCCGTCCAGCCGTGTCAGTGCAGAATATTAGGGCCAAGATGGCCGCTCAACAGCAGGCGTCTGTCAGGAACCGTAGACTGGCCCAGCAAATGGCCAACAGACCTAGTGTGATTGCTGCTCTGAAAATCAAGAGGGTAAGTAACAATTTATCAACAAGTCCAAGGCGGAGGTTAACCTGATAATATTGATGGAACGCTTAAAGTTATTCCAAATTGCTTAATATAATTGGTTTTATTTCTCTGTATAGGTGTGAAGAAGTGTTGAATGTTTATATGTTGGTAAAAATCAGTTATATACTATGTAAATATTAAACTGAAATTAACTAGGTTTATCAAAGATTATCTGTTACTGTATTTTCTAAGTCTGCCAGATTTATTTAAGAGCTACCATCTGTTATTAACTTTGAATTAAGATGGTCTCTTACAAACATTTGCAACAAACAGGGTCTTGTGCCAAATGGTTTTCTTTCTAGGGACAAATGTCAGTACTTACCCAGATACCTGAATTTAATTTGAAATTTGTCATTTAAGAATTGTAATATACACATTTCTAGATTGGATAACACTTAAAAAAAAAAAAATAAATAAAACATACTGATGAAACCATAAACCAAAGAAAACTAGTAATTTTACATACATTTCCAAAAAATAAATAAAATTGTAACACATTGTTTCAATTTACTCAAGATTAAACATACCAGTAATATATCTTGCTTAGATTAAATGATAATATGTACAGGTCAATGCATGCACTAGTTTGTACCATCCTGCAATATAATATTCTAAGCCTCTTATGGCTCTTGATATAATAATAGTAAGAGTTATAGGTGGGCTAGCTGAATGAGTTGGTCATGTCTCCTATAAGTTTATTAGGAAATAGCTCTGGCAATTATGCTAGCCAGGAAAGTTGTCAAACATCTAGCAGAGCCTATTTAGTAGCATGGGCATCATGTGGGTGGATATTATCCTCATGAAATGACATATTGCTTCCCATTTCAGGAATGGCAGCAGAAACAGTTGAACAATGTTCTGGACATACATGGCCCTGTTCAGTCTTACCTCAACAAATTCCAAAAGCAAGAAAGTGTTGTAAGTTTTAGCACCACACACCATGACAGGGTTTGGGTTTATGTATTGTGGGTGAAAACATTCTTGATGTTTCTCCCAAGGTCTGTTATACATGCAAACAGCCATCATTTGCATGAAGCTATAATAGGCTCTCATCACTGAACAACAATAGCATGCCATGTCATTCCATACACCAGGTGAATGTCTTACTACACCACTGGAGATGTACACAATGGTGTTGTGACATAAGTGGAAATCTGGTTAGATGCCCACATGCTCTTAGTCCCGCAACAAGTAAATTATTTCTAACAATCCATGTTGATACTCCTGAGTTGGCCACATTTGCTGTGATCTCTGCAGTCTGTTGAAATTGCCAAGGCTCTGTACAACATGACCATCCAGAACCTGTTCTTTTGATCACAGTTAACCATATTCAAGCACCACCAAGATATCTTGTCCACCACATGCAGCAATTCTCTGAAATTGGACTACATTCCAATTCCTCTCAAATAATTAAACAAAAGGAGCACACATGTACACCTCCTCGATTGCATGAAACCTGCTTGCAATTGACTCTTTCACCATACTAAACTTTATTGCAGCATATTTCATTGTCTAAAACTCAGACATTCATGCTGTACTATTATAAATCTTACTATGTCACAAGATGTACAAAGATTTTGAATATTTTATCACAATATCAACTCACTAACATGGTCAAAATTAGTATCATCTTTTAGAATATTACCATTTTATTTTCTATCAATACACACTGAACAATATCCTTCAATTTCCTGAGCTTGTTTTCTTGTGTTTGATCTATTTTGCTTTAAAAAGAAAACAAGCAGTACAGGTTTCTGTGTATATTTTTGTATTGTTGGATGGTGTAAGATTTTTTTTTTTTTTTATCACAAACAGAAATTTTACATTCTAAAACACACATATTCCTTTTTTCTTTTTTTCTTCTTCTTTTTCTTTTTTTTTTATAAATTTCATCAGTTTCATACAGTAGTTTCCCCATACACAAATGGGGAAAGAAAATAACATTAATTGAATTTACTTAGGAACCACAAGTGCACTTTAAAATCTTTAGTTTTATTTTTCTATCTTATCTAGAATTTTGTAAATAAGCATTCCATTTAAATGAAAATCTGTTCTTGATTAAGACACCACCAGCTGAAAGTATTAGATATAACAGATACTTGATTTAATATTGACATATTTTAATGTGTTTAAAGCTTAATAGATTTTCCTTAAATGACAAAAAAAAGAGACTATCTAGCAAATAGCTTCACTTTCAGTGTCAGCATATAATTCCACACTTGTAACAAAGTTTTATTCAACTTTCTAAAATTGATTCATCATTTAAAAAAGATAACTATTTGCAGAGAATTTGCATGTGCACTTGTCAATTTTTTTTTCTTTTTAATCAATATGCATGATTTCTCTGACAAAATTTCTACAAATATCAACCAATTTTTATTGACTTTTACAGAGAAGTCTTAAACAAAGACTCGGCAAGAGTAACGTGAAATCACGCTTAAGCCTGTCAGTGATGCGTGGTCGTGGCGGTCGGAGCCGGTCTCGTGGTGGACGCTTCAGAGGGCGTGGTTTGAATATGTCAATGCGAGGAATGCCCAACAGAGGGCGAGGATCAAACTTGTCCAGACAACAGAGTGCTCTTTCTCTTGGAATGGGTGGACCTGGAAACATGGATGATGGTAGAAATATGTCTCTCTTACAAGGACGTGGTAGAGGTAACTGTTGAATAAATGCCCTTTTAATTTAGTATCACTATTATTAAAGTCCCATTTAATTTTTTTTTTTTTTTTTTTCCCCTCAGCATGATTCCTGAGACTGGAAAATTATTCTTTATATTTTTTTTTTTTTTTTTCCACATGTAAACAAGTTTGTCATGAAAATTCTATGTATCAAATAAAAATCATTTTTTGTCTAGCTTTTTTAAATTTTTCTTATTATAAATTAGAATACATTTTCAAAATCTTATATAAATTAAGATGTGCTGAAAAGTTCTTGGCCTTGCCTTGTCGCCTTTAAGTTCTACCCAGTCAAGCTGAGAACTTTTCAGCATCTCCTTGGCGTGCCAGGAAATGTCATGTTTTCTTGCATGCTGCATTGGGAACTTTATTAACATTAATAATGCTTTATTTTTTTTCTGTTTGGATTTCTAATGCAAAATTCCATTGTCTTCAAGTTTTTAATAAATGCCATATAATCTAATTTTTTGTTAATTGTTTAGAAAATTGAAAAAAAATAATTCTTGCAACAATTAATTTTTCCAGGTCGTGGTTTGGGTAGATTCCGTGGGCGACAACGTTTCCGCGGTGGTCGGGGTGGCGGACCATATTCAAGGTAAATTCTCCTAGTATCTTCTTACAAAAATTTGTTGTACACTTTGATAAGATGTTATGTTTATTTATTTCTCTGTCCTCCTGATTTATTTTTCTTTAAGAGCTTTTAATATTTTGTGAGCGGATTTTTTTTTTTTGATGGAATTGAATTTGAAACAGAATTCCATTTTCATTTTTCTTCAGAGCTACTCTATGCTACTGAAGAATTATATATTTATCTCACTTGTAGCTTTTTTAGAGACAAAAGGTTAACATTATTTACAATAGGTTTTAATATTATGTCAGTATGAAGGTGGTGGTGGGGGGGGGGCAACCTCTGCAGTAGAAAAGTGTTTTTACACCACTTAGGTATTGAGGCATAATAAAACACATTTTTTTCTAAGGTACTCGTTATTTATTAGAGAATATTTTATTGAATTACAATTGAAAATTTTGTGACTAGTTACTTAGTATTACAAATTTAATAATTTAAATATTTTGCAAAATTAATACTATCTCTAATAATACTTATGTATCAAGCTAACATAAATAACTCTAGTTGAATTTATAATTATTTTGTCATTATTTTGCTTTGGAATTACATTTTTCAGGTTATAAATTGGTGTACTTCAATTTAAAAAAAAATTGGAGACTTTATCACAAGAAAGCATTTGATATTTTTTGTATGTTCACAATTCTGAACAGTTGCTTCAGTGAATTAAAATTATGCCCAACTTTGGAACCTGTATATTTTGCTCAACTACAAACATTTAATAAATCTGTAAATGTTAAGAATTACAGTTGTCTTTGTAGGTTTATGCGTTTTTTGTTTTTTATTTGTAAGCTATCCAAAATTTGTATTCATGTTAGGTTAGATAAACCTTTACCAAGTAATAATGTTAATATGGATGCAAAAAGAGTAGAGAAATAATTTAAAAAAAAAAAAAAAAAAAAAATTACATTTTTTGCACATCAATTACACAAATATTTCCTATGACAATTTGTATGCTTTTATAGTGTAGACCAATCACTCCAGATAAAATGTTTATTCAGAAAACAACTGTTAATACAACTTTCTTTTGTAAAAGTCTCTAAATGAGTTTGATTCTCCTCAGATTATAGTAAGTATTGGCATTACCTTTTAAATACATTATGCTGTGTATGTGTGATAATGAGATGAAAACAATCCAACTGAGATGAAAACTAATATCTTTCAGTAATCAGTCCACTGTTCTTACATGTATACTCAAAATTATTACTGCAATATATCTTAGTGCTTGCTTGCAATTTCAACTTTTTTCGTTTTGCAAATACTAGTGCTGTACTTATGAAGCCTTTTAAAGTTCAGCTTGGTCAAAATAGTTGATAAAATTAGTATATTGGAAATAAGATTTACTTACTATATGCCCTGCTTCTATATTAGTATAATATTTTTTGTGAGAATATATAGTTTTACAGATATTTTTCTTTACTTTTTTTCAACTGAAAAATTACCTTAATTGTAATTTTTTTTTTTCATTTGTAAAAGATATATATGCTTATCAACCATATCTATTTCATAAAAGTACAATAATAAACTCTATTGGTTTGACTGCATTATAAAATATTGACTTTGGTAATGTTAAGCACAAAATCTGCTTGGCACATAGTCATTTGAGAATTTTAAAAAATTCCTTTTTGACATCACAATTTATCTAATTTCTTGAAGGACAAAAGGTAAAACTTTCTTTTTATATGAAGATAGTTTTGGCTTCCTTTTTTAAATATCCATTTCCCTACAATTCTTTATTCAGCTCAAGATGTTAACAAATCTAATTCATGATATAAGTGACCAAAAAAAAGTTTTTATTTTTATGCATAAAACATGCTTTTTGTGGTATTACCTATGTTGATAACTGTTAAACATGTGTAATATATTTTGGAAAAGATAAGTGTTGTGGATTATGTATTTAAAGAACATGTCAGTGGCACACATGGTTGAATGCTGACAATGCACATAATCTAGTCACTAGACTGGAGTACCTGTCATAATGAAATGGCTTTTACCATACAAGGCCCTGCAAGTAAACATGTTAAAATGTATGCTTGCAGTACCTTCATTTGTCTGCTTTCTGGGGCCCATTGCAATAAGGTATATAGGATGGGATATTGTAACCATATTTTTTTAATGACTTGAAATAGCAATTCCTTATTTGATCTAGAGAACTTTGTTTAACTTCTTTCTCTCTATCCTATAACTAAATGAACAAAGAGTGATTGACAACAGAAGTCGTGTGGTATTTTCTACTTCTCCTAACCAGAAGATAGCAGGCTTTTTACATAAACATTTCATGTTTGTATGACATTTGATGATCCATAAAAAGTTTATATTACAATTTTTTAAATTTCTACTTCAAATTTCAATGTATCAGGAAAAACAAATGAATTTCCTCAAATTAACTTTCTACTTTTATATTACTTGTACTCTCTTAATATAGACTAAGGTTAATTTTTAGTATAAACTTTGTTACAATTTTAAAAGCATTTATTTTTTACTGATTAATACTTGAAATTATGTATTACATGACTTAATATCTAAACTTTATAGTTTTTTAACTAAAAATTTTCATAAAGTAAGTTTGAAAATCATCTGCATCTCCATGTTTAGAGCTATTATATGGGAGAAGATATGTAATTATTGGATTCTGTTCAAGAGCACTCAAAATTTGTAGCCTTCAATATTTATATTAAGAAAATAAATACATTGACTACTTTTAAGCTCCTCTAATAGCCTAATTATTTCATATTCAAAGCAAATCAAAAAAAACTTATAAAAGATTTCAAACCCAATGAATCAAAATATTTTGTTCTACTCACCAATTCTATTGCAACTACAATTACCACAAGGATTATATAGGAGAAACCACAAGGAATTTAAATAAAAGATTATATAAACATAAAAGGGATCTTTTTCAAAATGACATACTTAATGCATTAGTTGCTCATTGTAAGGAGTCTGTCAATAATTTTTATTTAAAAGACACTACTTTAATTAGACTAGCATTTTACTAAGATAAAAAAGGGAATAGAAAGCATTTTAATCTCTAATCATCCATAGTAAATTTACATCAAGGTTCTTGCATCTCAACTTGGTAGATATTTTAATATCACAATGTGAGATACATCATAATAAAAGTGCTAAAAGCAAAGAAACTAAATGAAATTGGCTATTTTATATTTCTATATAACTTGTCACAGAAAAAAAAATTAAAGTTAAATGCTTAAAATTTCAGCATCCCAACATTTTTGTCATTTCCTATCAACATTTTGTGTTTTATATACCCCCCACCCCCATCTACAAAAAACATTTTCATCCAATCACGTCAAAAACACACACACACACACAAACAAATTCCACTTTGTCATAGATATATAGCTTCTCAAATTTGAAGCCCTCTTAGACTGTGTTCTTGTGTGATGATCCCTAAGAGTTATTTTATTACAAGTGAACTAATGAAAATATTGCAGCATTTTGACTACAAATCATCTATCTTGGTTAACTATATCTTCTACCTTTTTTTACTTTATAATGTAAGCTGAAAAGGTTTTTGGCTTCATGAAAAGCAAATTGCTTGTAGCTATTTTAAGTGCATACTACCTTAATGAAATAAAACAATTTTTGTTATATTTTATGTTCTGATCTCTCAGATGTTTCTCTTTATATAAGCATATCAAAGAAAGAAATTACAATTTATATGCAAAACATTTGATTTATTCCCCACTATGTATTATTTTTTTTATAAATAATAGAACAAATTTTCATATTTCAAGTATCTAATTTTGTTTTGTGGTATATCAAACTTTTTTAAAATTTGAATTTCATTATCTTTCTTTAATTTTTTATTTTTTTTTATTTCAATGTTTAATCCTGAGTTCAGAAACTGAAAGTAATTTGCACAATCTCATTTACCTGCAAACAGTAGGATCCATGCATCACTAAATTTAATTTAATGGAACCAGCTGCACTACTCTTTTACATACAAATGAAATATCAGTTTTATTGATAGTCAAGAACATTTAAAAACACTTAATCAACTTTTTGTAAAACATGTAAATGTATCCTATTAAATATATCAATTTTATAGCTTTCAAACAATATAAGGAAGAATGAAGTTTTTATATATTTGGTTAAAATATCAGGTTTATGTACATGCTTAATTTACCAATTTATTACTGTACAAAAAATTTGTATATATTATATAATAAATATTTGTAAGATTTGCTGTGAATATATTTATGTAAACTAGAGATTACTCTATATTGCGTTATCATTCTATAATCAAAATTCAGAGAGCACATTTGATTACCATAGTTTGGGGTTACAGGCTAAAAAATGATATAATTTCATGATGCATTGTGTGAGCATTTTATTATAGATACATTAATGTTTTAAATTAGATTTTTTGAATGTTGTTTGTGTCTCTCTCTTGCAAGTATATATTACATACTGATGTTAGCAAGAAAAAAAATTGCATTGCATTTTTAAGAGACAAAAAAATTTATACATAAATCAATATTTTTCTTTGCACTAACAAAGTATGATACCTCAATATGTAATACTTTCATTGAATTAAAGGATTGTGTATTTACTTAAAATGACATTTAACTGCTGAGAAAAGAGATTGATTGCAAGTATTGGTGTTTTTTTTACCGTTTCTTAACAGATGTATTTAAAGCTGATCCAACAAATACATTTAATTTAAAATGTTTTTGCCATACCAACAAGATCCAAAGGAATAAAGAGCATTATATTTGGGGACAGCTTGCCTGCAGGAGTTGCTGGAAAGTTGTCAATGTTGGCAGCCTTCAACTCCGGGTTTTCTGTCTGGATTTACTTACGTAGCCTTTTCCATGTATTGGATATGACTACAAGGCAATGAAGGTTTAAAATCAGGGTTTTTTTTTTCCCCTTTCCCTAGATAAACTGCCTTCCTAGGCTGTTGTACTATATCTTCCTGAAGATTTGGAACATATATAATGTATGTAT